CATATCTAAACATGATCCAGAAGCGCAGGCGTTTTCTCTGGGCCAAGGCTCATTTAAAATGGACTGTGGCAAAGTGGAAAACTGTTCAATGGTCAGACGAATCAAAATTTGAAGATCTTTTTGAAAGGTATATCACAATTTGTACAGTGCCCCAACTTTTTTGGAATCGGGTTTGTAGTTAATTACAGACCGATCTCAAATCTCCCTTTTCTGTCTACATGTTACCCTTGGGAGATATCATCAGGAAACACGGTGTTAGCTTTCACTGTTATGCTGATGATACTCAGCTCTATATTTCTTCGCGGCCCGGCGAAACATACCAATTTGAAAAACTAACGGAATGCGCACTGGCTCCCTATTAAACATCGTATAGATTTTAAAATCTTGCTCATTACTTATAAAGCCCTGAATGGTTTTGCACCTCAGTATTTGAATAAGCTCTTATTGCATTATAGTCCTCCACGTCCGCTGCGTTCTCAAAACTATTTGATAATACCTAGAATATCAGAATCAACTGCGGGCGGCAGATCCTTTTCCTATTTAGCACCCAAACTCTGGAATAATCTACCTAACATTGTTCGGGAGGCAGACACACTCTGTCAGTTTAAATCTAGATTTAAAACCCATCTCTTTAACCTGGCTTACATATAACACACTAACACATTTCTAATATTCAAATCTGTTAAATGATTGTTAGGCTGCATTAATTAGGACAACCGGAACGGGGAACACTTCCCATAACACCCGATGTACTTGCTCATCGTTAGAAGAATGGCATCTACGCTAATATTAGTCTGTTTCTTTCTTATTCCGAGGTCACCGTAGCCACCAGATCCAGTCTGTATCCAGATCAGATGGTCACTGCAGTCACCCGGATCCAGTCCGTATCCAGTCCAGATGGTGGATCAGCACCTAGAGATGACCTCTACAGCCCTGAATGTCAGTGGAGATCAGGACAACTAGATGAGCCCCAGAGACAGATCCCCAGTAAAGACCTTGTCTCCTAGACGGACAAGACCACAGGAACCAGACGAGTCCTCTGCTCAATGTGACTTTTCTGCAGTCTGGAATTGAACTGCTGATTTCGTCTGGCCAGAGGAGAACTGGCCCCCCGACTGAGCCTGGTTTCTCCCAAGGTTTTTTCTCCATTCTGTCACCGATGAGTTTTGGTTCCTTGCCGCTGTCGCCTCTGGCTTGCTTAGTTGGGGACACTTAATTTCCAGCGATATCGTCGACTTGATTGCACAGATACTACCGTATTGTCCCGAATATAAGACATTGTTTTTTTCTTGGAAACACATCTGAAAAAACGCGGTCGTCTTATATTCAGGGTCTAGACTTTGACATGTCAATAATACATCCACAAAAATAGGTGGCGCCAAATACATATAAAACGAGTGTGCCATGAAATACGTAATGTAATGTGTGTTGTAAAGATTGCGAATAAAAACAAAAGAGAAAGAAAACCTTACAGCTGCATGAGTCGTGACTGTCACGTTAGCCTGATGGGACCAAACTCTCTTTGTGATTTTAAAACGTAAGACAGTACCCAGATTTGAAGACTACAGTAAGATTTAACTTCTGCTGTTAATAAGATTTTGGTGGGCTACTATTAGATGGATAGCCTAAACGTCTTAATTCAGATGGGCAACCTGTTTTTTTTTCATTTATTTTTTTTAATGGTATATCAAAAAGTGTATATTTTTTTAAATGTGATTGTTGGTACATTTGACCAGTTTTTACCATACTTTCAAAACAAAAATTAAAATAGGAAAAATATGCAATATGAAAATAATTGAAGACAAAATGTGTTTTACTGAGAAAAAAGGAGATTTGGTTTTTAAAAAGCCTTTTTCCAAAAGGTACATTTGGAAAAAGGGGGGTCGTCTTATAATCAGGGTCGTCTTATATTCGGGCCAATACGGTATTTAAACTGAACTGAGCTGGAGGATGACATCACTGAATTCAATGATGAACTGCCTTTAACTGAAAATTGAGTGTTTACTATTGTCATTTTGAATTAATGACACACTATTTTCCTAATTAATGCCATACAGTTGCTTTGACACAATCTGTATTGTTAAAAGCACTATATAAATAAAGGCGACTTGACTTGACTTGATTGGCTACATTGCTCAGCGTGTTCTGGACTGAGTCAAAATTATCTTGGCTATTAGACCCGCAACACCCCCGTGCCTGTCACCACCTGGCATGCACTCGCACTGCAACCAAAACATAAATATCATTCCACCTGTTACATCAAATATGAGCAGTTCACCTGCGTGTACCTGCCTGCGTGCTGGACTGTGGCTTCCCCCTTGTGGACACTAACGTAATAGGCAACTCTGGCCCCAGAGAGTTTAAATTTATAATATAAATTATATATTATAAATAAGTTTAAATAAGTAGATTAAATTGACATGAAATATGTTTGAAATAGTATTATTTAAAAACACACAATTTATTTCACAGTGGAGAGGTCAATTGGGGTGAACACCAAGCAGGGGGACAAAGACTCAGAGCATTCTTCTCTAGTTGGTGCTGCGGCTATAATATTCTCTTCCATAATATCCATAACAATGTGTTGTTCAAGTGTCATGAAACCCCCGTTTCAGCACTGGTCTTTCACACCTTGGATCTGAAAAATACTCCAGAAATGGGTGTGTAAAACTGAGGAAAAATGGTAGTGTAGAGAGTGGGGAGAGGGGAGAAAACCAATAAAACACAGACCTACAACATACAGACACATGAATATTAACATATCTTTAAAACAGAAAGAATAAAGGCAGTTACTTTCTGTTTACTCCTCTTTGAATTTTCAGTCTGTATCATTAGCTGTGTATCACAATAATTCGTCATGTCATCGCATTCGTGATCAGACACTGCCGCTGTATCAGCAAATGCCCTTATTGCATCTTTTATTTGAAGACACGATATGTTGCTCGTGCTGGTTCATGTTTGGAGCACGGGAGAATATGAAATATGTTGAAACGCTTGCTCCGGTACGGATATGAACTATGATCCACGCAGCGAGTGTTGTTAAACTCGTCGTGGCGTTCAGCACAGAAACTGCTCTCTCATGCACGCTCCACGTGTTGTTACATATTAAATATTGTTACGGTCATGTTTACAGAGGTTGACTGAAGCTGTTGCATGAGATTTGAATAGTCCGCTGTAAGACGACCTCATGCATAATACAGCGCAGTGGTTGGATCTTAAGAGTTCACTCTCATGAATAGTACTGAAAAAAGCTCTGAAAACGGATTACGTAGACGTACTCTCCAGCCATGGCAGCCAATCACCAATCCAGATTAACGCATATACATCACTTTCCGTGACGTAGGCTCAACCGGAAGAACGAAATTGCTTCAAAAAATTAAAAAATAACCACTTTTACCTTAATAATAGACATAATGACTGCTAAAATTGTTTTCACTGATGTGCAACCTGTTCATATATGTTAACATCTCAAAAAATGTGTTTTAGGGTTTCATGACACTTTCAGTACATGAACTGTCAGCAGCTCATACCTGGAAGAAAGAGCTTTCACATAAGATGTCGTGGCAAATGTCCAAGTGGCTGCTCTGAGGGACCTCAGCTGGTGTTTGGCCTTCTGGGACGGATCCACTGGGCTGGCAGCTCTGGGCAAAAGACTGGACGTAATGAGCAGCCACAGTCCAAAACTGAAGGTCTGATTCATCACCAAACAGCCTAATAAAAAAAAAATGAATGAGGCTTTTCCTGCTGTCAAGAGAGTTAGAAGCTATTATACACACATTTTTTTTTCACATATTTGACATTGATTACTGTGGGAAAAAAAAAAAAAAAAAAAGGAATTATGTTGACTGTGGAAAAAATTTAAATACTTTAAATATTATACACTCCACTTATTGGTAGCCAAAAACATTGTTACATTCCATTAATTTGAGATAACAAGCAGTATGATATTTAAGTGAAGCTGTTTAGTGTAACAGCACTGGGATGCTGCACTGTTTGTATCACTCCTCATCTATATTCACAGCATTCTAGACAGGCTATCTATGTCTTGCCATGTAAAATGCAATGCTTGATCTTGAATGGAATGTTTGATCTTGCATGATCTTGCATCTGTCCACTCTAGTCTGGTGTTTGGCCTTCTGGGACGGATCCACTGGGCTGGCAGCTCTGGGCAAAAGACTGGACGTAATGAGCAGCCACAGTCCAAAACTGAAGGTCTGATTCATCACCAAACAGCCTAATAAAAAAAAATGAATGAGGCTTTTCCTGCTGTCAAGAGAGTTAGAAGCTATTATACACACATTTTTTTTTCACATATTTGACATTGATTACTGTGGGAAAAAAAAAAAAAAAAAAAGGAATTATGTTGACTGTGGAAAAAATTTAAATACTTTAAATATTATACACTCCACTTATTGGTAGCCAAAAACATTGTTACATTCCATTAATTTGAGATAACAAGCAGTATGATATTTAAGTGAAGCTGTTTAGTGTAACAGCACTGGGATGCTGCACTGTTTGTATCACTCCTCATCTATATTCACAGCATTCTAGACAGGCTATCTATGTCTTGCCATGTAAAATGCAATGCTTGATCTTGAATGGAATGTTTGATCTTGCATGATCTTGCATCTGTCCACTCTAGTCTATGTGACTCATGAAAATATTAAAGGAAGTATGGAAGGAAGGAATGAAGGAAGGAAGTAAAGAAGGAAGGAAGGGAGGATAGACGAATAAACAAAATCTAAACACGCAAAACAATGAACACCATTAAGGTTCACAAAACTGTTATCAGATATCTTTATAAAAATTAATAAAATAAAATAATACAATAAATAACAAATAAGTATTGAAAATTTGAATCTATGCATTACATGTTGAAGTTTAGCTCTGTTTTGCAGAGTCTAGGGTAAATAATAGTGTTCTTTAAAATAAAGTGTTCTTAGGTGTTCAATTGTTCAAACAAGAAAATGTATCCATTAAATATCATTCGATTTTGCTTCTTTGCCTGAGACAGAAAACTCTCTTGAAGTTTTAATTTTATTCAGGTCTGGACTGAAGGCTGACAGAAAGACGGCCTTCAGATATATTATTTTATAGTATTCTATACTGTGTTAAATTATATGTTGATTAGCCTTGCTTTTTCAATAGTCTTTATTCTTATAAAAATACCCAAGATGGATTTAAGAACACAGATAAACCATATGCTATCACGATTGTGAGTTTATTGTCTTCATGTTTGATCTCTTGTTGGTATGCTAGAAACCCTTGGCAAAGAGAGAGAAGAGAAGTTATAATTTGCTGCTCATGACACCCGACTACTTCGCAAACTACCACTAGAGTTGTGTGCAGACTTCTGTTTATATTATCAGTCTGACTCAGTGTCACTTTCTAATACCTCTTTTTCACCCGGGCTGGTGTTGGAGCCAGAGCCCAATTGGGAACTGAGCTGTGTTTTCCCCCTCAAAAAAATCTTGGGCTGGTCCCCACATCCTGGCTCCAAACTGGCCCTGAAACCTTGCTGGTCTTGAACAAGTGAACCTATGACGTGAGTAAGTGAAGCTTCTACTACAGACCACAGTTTGAAAGTCACCATTTTTAAAAGCCGCCAGAGTTCAGGTAAATAAAAATTAACAACAACAATTAAATGTGTCAGTTCAGCAGTGGTCGGCAGAAGAGACCAATGCTCTCCTTCTGCAAGAGATAACAAGCGATTCTGGTCATATGTTGGTGACGTAGACGGTTCTGCTCTCTGCCAGTGGAAATGCAAGCAGGTTCTGAACAATTGCCACACTTGGCTAAGCACAAGCTCCAGCTCCAGCAGTCTACACGGTGCCAAAGCTGTCTCACAGATTAAGTGTGCAGAACCAGGACTGAAAACATCCACCTCAGAAAAGAGGTAAGGTACAACCCGTCTGGATTGTGAGAGCTTTGAACATTTAAGTCAGCGTGTGACTTTCCATTACAGTTCCAGAAATATGAACCAAAATATTAACTTTTATTTTTGTAGTGCCACCTAGTGTGTGGATGTGTGTGTGCACGAGCCTGAATAATGTGGGTGGGAGACTCCTAACTTGGTGGAGTTTTAATGATTCTACTAAGTTATGTGTCTCTATGATTTATGGTTTCTGTGGTACTGACACTTTTAGGGATCAGAAAAATTAAAAGAAAAAGAATCATAAAATCTTAAATACACTAGGGTTCCAGGATCAAAGATATTGTGACCCCTAAATAGGAATAATTACAAACAAATACAAGAAGGTTCTAAGACTGAAAATGAATCGAAATGCATTCTCAATTAAAATTGTGCACAACCCTACTGTACTGACACTTACCGAGACACAAGGAGGCAGCGTTGTAGCAAGTTCAGATTTGGATCCTGGAGAACGCTTTTGATGTCACTAAGTGGGAAGAAAATATTGGATGCTCAGTGAAATAATAATAATAATAAAACACATTAACAAAAATGAATAAAAAAATAATGTGAGACAGTGCAACATGCTCTTTAAAAAGCTTAATGTGAGCCATTTGAGGATAATTTTGTCCCTGCTTTTATTTATAGGTACTTTTTTGGGAAGTGAAATAAATTTCCCTGAATAAACATACCTGAATTACAGAACAATTGGGTAACACTTTCCATGAAGCCCGTATTTATAATACATTATAAGGGTATTCTTAAGGCATTATAATGAATGCATTATGCATTATAAAAAAAACATATAATATGTTATATCAACTCATGAATAATCATAACAACAGTTATAATACATCATAATACTTACGTATTTGTGGTTATAAGTTTAAGAGCATGATTATTTATAACACAATGAACACCATATTAAATCTACTCATTTGCAGAATAATGGACTGTATCATAGCTTGACATTGTTTATTTAAGATCTGCACATTATCTTACTACAGCTTGTGAGTGGTTAGATGTTGAGTGTTATTTGAGTGTTTCCTGTGGAGCTAATGTTAATTAATTGATGTGAGCTTTATACTCCAACTGAAAAAAATGCAATGTTTTATATTTTTACATTTTATTTTGATGGTCCACTTAATCAATCGACTATAAGCAACTTTGCAATTACATGCCAACTAACTCTCATTAGAGAGTTAGTATGCTCAAGAATGGTAGAATCTAGTATGGTAGAATAAATTGACGTACTTGCAAAGACACTTATAGTCAGTTTATCTGTTGTTTGACCATAAAAATAAAGTGTTAGCAAATATTTACAGTAGCAGACATACTAATACTCTAATGACCGCTAGTTGATATGTAGTTGCAGAGTTACTTATCAACAGCTGTTTAAAGGGTACCATCAAAATAATCAAACTGATATTACAATAAAAATAGTTAAAAGCAAATGTGTCATATTACACATTCATCTGATCTGATATCTTATCTTATGGCTGTTTGAGAGATTTAAAAAAATATATATTATTATTATTACTACTTATAAGTGGTCTTTGACCGCTTTAAGTAAAGTAGCATAAGAAAAATGGCAAGATATGAGACTTATAATACGTTATAACTATGAGAAATATAATCCATGGTAAAAGTGGATGCAACGTGTTCATTGTGTTATAAATCATCATACTCTTAAAAACTATAACCACAAATAAGTAAATATAATATATTAAAACTGTTCTTATGAATATTCATGAGATGATACAACATATTATAAGTTTTTTTTATAATGCATTATGCATTCATTATAATGCCTTAAGAATACCCTTATAATGTATTATAAATACGGGCTTCATAGAAAGTGTTACCAATAATTGTATAAACAGTTCTGTGCTCTATTCAGGGAGTATGCATACTTAGAAAGAGAGTTGAGCTGTTCCTGGATCAGTCCTTTGATTTCATCTTTTTCTTTGTAGTCTCTAAGGATGGAAGCACAAAATACATGTCACCAGTTTATCTTTTGTCTGTTCAATTGTACAATGTAAAGGGTTGCCCACACGGTAGGTACACACTAGGCATTTTGGTTGACTATCTACTGTAAGTGTCATAGGAACGATGCATTATAGTGCCATCCCAAAAAGGCACAAAATCACTTTCACAGACTTTTACATTTACTGTTCCCTCCTGGTGGAATGTCCTGCCCAACTCAATTCAAGCAGCTTAGCCATCTTCAAGAAACAGCTAAAAACACATCTCTTCCATCTTTATTTGATCCTCTAACTCCAGCACTCTCTATTCTAGTTCTATTTTATCCATTTATTTTCTTTGAAAAAAAAACAACATTTGACCCTTCATATTTATTTTTCTTCAAAACAAGAAAATAATAATTTTCAATCTCTTATGTCACAATGTATTTTGAGAGTTACACATGTAACAGATGTTAACCAAAATATAACCATGCTGAAATAACAGCAATATTTACAACATTTAGGAGATAAAATATTGTAAATTCTCAATATTTCAAGATTTTTAACGACCATGAGAACCCTGTAGGTAACTCCATTTGGCGGCTATGAATGAATGATAAATAAATATTAAAACGGAAAAATACCAAATTGACACATATGAAGCAATGTGTTACAGGGAACAACAGAATAATACTAGGTCAATATGCTATTGGGATGTGTTGGATTCAGCTTTACACTGCCTTTCCAAAAAAAGTTGCACAATATTTTGTTGGACCACCTTTAGCTTTGATTATATTGTGCATTCGTTGTGGCATTGTTTCGACAAAGTCATGCAACATAACAGCATTTATTTTCATCAAGAGTTGCATTAATTTGTGCTTGAGATCTTGTATTGACAATGGGAGAGTCAAACCACTCTGTAAAGTTGACTACAGCACATTCTTTCAATAAGATTAAGCTCAGGACTCTGTTGTGGCCAATTCATACAAGAAAATGATTCCTCATGCACACTGAACCACTATTTCACAAATTGAGCCGGGTGAATCTTGGTATTGTCATCTTGTAATTCAGACATGGGTATGTTTGAGAAGTAAAAAGCTACGCACCGCATCAGTTAAGGTTAAAATAACTGTTGCAAAACAATGTAAGAAACATGTTAATCACTGCAGTGATCAGGGCTCAAGAAATGGGGCAAATTTTATGATATTTTGCCCTCTTCAAGCATGACAGGCCACATGAGACATGAGCTGACAAGACATTAGAGTGAGAAAATAATGAGTGAATTTTCATTTTTGGCCAGGTTATTAAATTATATCTAAACTGACTAGGGCTGTCAAAAAAAAAAATTTGAATTTCGAATATTCGACGAATTTAAAATAAAAACCCACATTTGAATGCAAAAACGTATTCGAATTTTAGGTGTGCGTTAAGGAGGCAGCCTTATCAGTGGCACACAAGATGCGATGACTATGTAAGTGTTGTTGCATTTTAATGTTTTTATTAGCCTATCCAGTTGAAGCAACTAGATGCAGCGCTGCTGCATTGTTAATTACAAATATTGCGGGAAAAGAGAACATCAATGCGGAGATGTTGTTGTTTACGTCAAAACTGAAACCAAGCCGTTCACACAGAACGCATATTTTGCACATTTTCTAGAGGGACATCTATCACCGTTGCACTCGCACAAGAGAGCGGCATGTTTAGAAAGCCATGTAAAATTAATGCAAGTTCAACTTTGAAAAAACATATCTCGAGACTTTATGGCGGGGGTTTTTTTCCACATCCCACTGCAACTCCTGTTTTTAAATGAAAAATGTACTCTGTGTGATTGACTTTCGGCCCTTTGTATTAAACTATGCATACATACATGATGCTGTTTTGTTTATAGTTGTTTAAGCAACTTAATTAATTATAATTGGTTTATAAACATTATTTTAAACATTATGGACTTTTTTTCACAGATAGTCATGTTATCTTATGCTTTGAAGAAACATGCATTAGTAATATTTTCCTCTTGTGGCCTCAGGAGAGAATCCAAAAGCTTTTCTTCACCCTAACTGAAATTATGCATTTTAAATTGGAATATAATTCGAATTTTGATAATATTTAAGTACAAAATTCGAATTTAGTTTTTCAGCCATTTTGACAGTCCTACTGTAGACTTCTAAAATCTCACTCATTGATTGATTGAATATTCCTTTATAATTCATAAAATATTTTGTCTTTGCACAGTCATGCCTGGTTCATATCACTAAAAGGGAAAACAACTGATCCTTCGCAAAAACCTGCCCTTCTTAGTTACTGTTGTTATGTCCGACACGTCATGCTAGTCTCACACTACACGTTCTCACGCAGTAAAAAATACATCGCGGAGCTTAGAGGAAACTGACAACACGCCGAGAGAGAGAGAGAACAGAGCGGGTTACTTCTGGTATGAAGCAAGGTCTCAGCTTTCAAATGTTGTAATTTTTTAAGAAATGTAAACAATAAATACAGTTTTGCGGCTCTTTAGATCGCTGCAGCAGCGCAGTTCAAGTGGCACGTGAACCGATCGTCTTTTCATATTTACACGAAATAAACATGAATCAGAACATATTTTATTTCAACTGTGCAAAGATGTCAATAGAATACACACAATTTTTCAGGTTTAAGTCTGTTCAAGTCATGTCTAACAGATCGTATTTATGAGCTAAATGCACCTGAATGCCACCACAAAGTCGTAATCACCAATGAGAAACATGGCGGAATTGATGGATGTAATGATATTCCACAATACATATAGGTATTAAGCAGTGACATTGTCAGGCTTTTTTTTTTCACAAAAAAAAAAACTTGTTTGAATAAAATATGACAGGATTTTAATATAACAATAACAAGTTTTTATACAATACAGTTTAAAGTGGTTTCATAAATTAGTTAAAAAATTAAAATGCAAAACACACCTGATGGGCATTCTTTGCTCTTCATTTTCTATAAGCAGTTAACAAACCTTGCTGTATTTTCTATAATTTATCTCGTAATCACCAATGAGAAACATGGCGGAATTGATGGATGTAATGATATTCCACAATACATATAGGTATTAAGCAGTGACATTGTCAGGCTTTTTTTTTTCACATAAAAAAAAAAAACTTGTTTGAATAAAATATGACAGTTTAGTTTTTATACAATACAGTTTAAAGTGGTTTCATAAATTAGTTAAAAAATTAAAATGCAAAACACACCTGATGGGCATTCTTTGCTCTTCATTTTCTATAAGCAGTTAACAAACCTTGCTGTATTTTCTATAATTTATTACACACACAGAAAAAAAGGGGTTTAAAATTGTACCTTTTGGGGTACAACAGCTTGTCCCTGGAGCAGTACCCTTAAAAGGACATATTTGTACCCTTTTTACCCCTAATAGGTACATATTAGTACCTTAGAGTAGTAATACGTACCCTTGAGGTACTAATATGCACTTATTATAAGGTACAAATATGTCCTTTTAAGGGTACTGCTCCAGGGACAAGCTGTTGTACCCCAAAAGGTACAATTCTGGCCCCTTATTTTTCTGTGTGCACCGCCAACTTGTGCCAACGAAAGTGACTTAAATGCACCTGTCGTCGTAAACACGACTTACTAGCTTGTATGTACGAACATCCCAGGAGGACTTGAATGCAGCAGTTATCTACTCTCCTGTATGATTTGTTTGTCAGACAAAATGGCAGATTAGGTCATGATTGGTCAGATCGCCTGTCAATCAAGCTCCCAGAGAATGGTCAATTAATTAAAAAATATCTTGTTATATGAGCATGACTGAAAAGCGGAGCTATGGCGGTAAAGCCCGCCAGAATGGGTGGGGTCATCTGGCTATATAAGCAGCACATCGCCATAAGATCCTCAGGTTACTTCGACTGAAGCGACGACTGAGTCATGCAGCTACATAGCACGGCAAAGTACGCAGTACTCGTTCCGTATCTCAGGGAACCGAGCTTACATTAGTAACCGAGTACGTTCCCTATCGATACTTCACTCGAACTGCATCTGTTTAAGACGCTTGGGGAACCAGTACAATCCCGCCGTGCTATGCTAGAGGAACAACTAATACTTGAACTTGCCTTAAGCACCCAAGGGGACCCAGAGGGACCAAGTATTTTGCAGGGAAGCCCTGCTATGCAGAAAGGACCCGTGCCTGTAAGGCCGGGATGTCCAGACTATAGAATGTGGCAAATGTGGAGGGCGAGGCTCAGCTGGCCGCCACACAAATTTTTGCAATGGACACACCGCTAGACCAGGCCCAGGAAGAAGCAAAGCCTCTAGTTGAGTGGGCTCTTACTCCCATGGGGCATAGAAGGCCCAAAGAAGAGTATGCTAGCATAATAATATCAGTTATCCATTTGGAAGTCTCTGCTTCATAACCGGACAACCCTTGGTGCGGCCACCGAAGCATACAAATAGCTGATCCGACAGCCTGAACCAGGCGGAACGCTCAATATGGACTTTCAGCGCTCTGACGGGACAGAGTAAGTTCAACTCTGGGTCTTGCTCTGAAGGAGGAAGCGCCGATAGAGTTATCACCTGTGCTCTAATGGAGTAGAGAGCACTTTAGGTACATAACCGTGCCTTGGTTTCAGGATGACTTTAGAGTCGTCGGGCCCGAATTCGAGGCAGGTGGAGCTCACTGATAGCGCCTGCAGATCTCCCATACGCTTACCGATGCTAATGCTCGTAGCAGAGCAGTCTTAAGCGTCAGGGGACGAAGGTCAACGGACTATAGCGGCTCGAAAGGAGGGCTCTTAAGAGCCCTCAACACCGTGGGCAGGTCCCATGTAAGGACGGTGATAGGGTGAGGCGGATTGAGCCTCCTAAGATCTCCCATACGCTTACCGATGCTAATGCTAGTAGTAGAGCAGTCTTAAGCGTCAGGGGACGAAGGTCAACGGACTGTAGCGGCTCGAAAGGAGGGCTCTTAAGAGCCCTCAACACCGTGGGCAGGTCCCATGTAAGGACGGTGATAGGGTGAGGCAGGTTGAGCCTCCTAGGCCCTTTCAAAAAGCGAACAACTAGGTTGTTCCTGTTCACTGACTGGCCAGCTATAGGAGCGCGTGAGGCTGCTATGGCTGCTACATAGACCTTGAGCGTTTTATTATCCCCAAAACCCAGTCTGGCACTCCGGGGATGGCCTGCCAGGCCTCAGCCTGCATGACAAGGGGTTGGATTAATTCGAGCGCCTGGTCGCCATATGGGGACCCCACACTCAGAAGAGGAATTTTGCTCTCTTTTGAAAATGCTTTCAAAAAATGCTTTGCTAGACTTAATGCTCTCATAGCGAGAGCAGTCAGCCCCAGTGCATGCTGCCTCAGCATGGGCGTGGCCCAGACGCGTCCAATATGAAGCTGTCAGTGATAATAATTATTAGTGACAGTGTTCCCTTTTAATCCGCCTAAAAAGATCAAACCACTCATAGAAGAGGAGTACAGATGATCTTTATGTGTAAACACTCAGGCAGATCAAAAGTGCTGCGTGCATTCGCTCAGATCCGCTTGTGGCAGACGAGGGGAGGGGCGGGGCTGCCTTCATTGAAGAAGATGAGCTGCGAGCAAAGCAGATAGAGACATGAACTCTCGTAGTGAGAGCGATCTGTCTCAGCGAGCGCAGCCTCAGCGTGGGCGTGGCCCAGGCGAGAGGCGCATTCAAATACGAAGCTGTCAGCGATATTGAATCATTGGTGACAGCACTCTGCTCCGATCATCACGTGTAAACACACTGGCGGATCAAAGAGCTGTGTGGAGAGTGATGCATGCTGGGGCTTGTTGGTGTTAAATTACTCATGCCTGATCGCTCATCCCCATGAGTTCGCCATTTCTTCCTCAGAGTAACTGGGAGGAGAGAAACACAAGAGCGGGGGAGGCGGGGCTCAGCGACGCACACACAAATGCAAAGCTGCGAACGGTCCTGCTTTGATCTGCCTAGGAGGATTAAGCTGCTCGGTGTAACGAGGGGCACTGATCCTCACATGTAACACACACTGGCATATCAAGCATGCATGATGTGTGCCAGCATGAATTGCTCAGCCTGATTGCTCAACCCGTGAGCTCGCGGTTGCTTCCTCCGAGGTAACTGGGAGGAGAGAAACACGAGAGCAGGGAGGTGGGGCCACCTTCCGCGAACGAACAGGGGCAGACTGCTTTCGTGGTAAAACACACACACACCAATTTGAAGCTGTCAGTGACAGCGTTCCGCTTCGATCAACCTAGGAAAATAGAGCCGCTCAATGCAAAGAGGGGCGCTGATTTTCATGTGTAAGACACGGATCGAAGCACAGGGCGGAGAGTGAGTACGCAGGCTCTGTGTCTCATCGTGATATCGCTCAGACCCGGCTGCTTAGCTCCCAGACTTCGCTGTTTCTCTCTCCGAGGCTCGCTGAGAGAGAAGAAACGGGAGAGCGGGGCTGCCTCATTGAAGTCGTTCCGCGAGTGGAGAAGAGCGAGATTTATGCTCTGAGTGAGCATTCTGTCTCAGTGAGTGCGCTGCTCACTGACCTTCTGCGGTGGATCAAAGCGCAGCGGGGAGAGCGAGCACGCGGGTACAGTGCCGGTATGGGAATGCTCAGACTGGTTGCTTAGTTCCCTGACTCCACTGTTTCTCTCTCTCTGAGGCTCGCTGAGAGAGGAGAAACAGAAGAGCGGGGCTGTCTTCAATGAAGGTGGTCCGCAAGTGGAGAAGAGCGAGACTCATACTCTGAGTGAGCATTCTATCTCAGTGAGCGCGCAGCTCACTGCCCTTCTGCGGCGGATCAAAGCGCAGCGGGGATAGCGAGCATGCGGGTACAGTGTCGGCATGTGAACGCTCAGACCGGTTGCTTAGTTCCCTGACTCCGCTGTTTCTCTCTCCGAGGCTCGAGAGAGGAGAAACGGGAGAACGGGGCTGCCTTCAATGAAGGCGGTCCGTGAGTGGAGAAGAGTGAGACTCATGCTCTCGGCGAAAGCATTCCGTCTTTGTGAAGTGCAGTCTCTGCATGGGGGTTGCCCAGACAGGCGATGCACTCACTGCCCTTCTGCATCGTGCAAGATTCCATGCACGAGCCACACTCGCAGCGTGACATTTGCAACAACATCGCTAAATTTCTAAAAACTAAATGTAAGTGTTACATAAGTGTTACATACACGACAAATTAAAGAGCCACAAAATGGTATTTATTGTTTGAATGAATGACAAATCTTGAAAGCTGAGACTTTGTTTCATATCAGAAGTAACCTGCTCTGTCTTGTCTGTCGGCGCGTTGGGGGTTGCCCAGACAGGCGATGCACTCACTGCCCTTCTGCATCGTGCAAGATTCCATGCACGAGCCACACTCGCAGCGTGACATTTGCAACAACATCGCTAAATTTCTAAAAACTAAATGTAAGTGTTACATAAGTGTTACATACACGACAAATTAAAGAGCCACAAAATGGTATTTATTGTTTGAATGAATGACAAATCTTGAAAGCTGAGACTTTGTTTCATATCAGAAGTAACCTGCTCTGTCTTGTCTGTCAGCGCGTTGTCAGTTTCCTCTTTGCTCCACAATGTATTTTTCACTGCGTGAGAACATGATGTGTGGCATAGCAACAGTAACTAAGGGAGGCGGGTCTTTGAGAAGGGCCAATTAAGTCAACGATTTGCTTCCTATCTTGGGTGTATCTTACCCAATATATTGTTATACTAAAAAAAAAAAAAAAAAAAAAAATGAGTAAATAATATACTTTTATTTTATAATGCCAGTTATTGTGTCCTGTATTTGATGTCATAAACGGGTGAGAATTCATGAAAATAAACAGGCTCAAACCATCAACCCCACTGTACTGTACTTAAACTTTGATGAAATCATCGAGTACTGGTACCCATAACAAGTCTGTTCAAAAAATGTACTGGCGTCCGATGTTTTCTTTAATGGAGATTTTTAAATTTTTTTTTAACTTGGCCTTTCGTTTCCCACATATCTTTTCATTTCAGGACATAATGAATAAAACTATTCCTGTGTCTAATGCCAGTTTCACACATACTCCGTTTGCAGTGCGTATAGAGTCCATGTGTAGAGTATGTGGTGCAGAAGCAGAATGTACTCCTTTTACTTTCACACAAGATGCATTTGCAGTCTGCTCCTGATCCACGACTGTTTACCACAAACACAACCTTTATCCATTACTTAGATTTCAAATCCAAACGTTGTTACTGAAAATGCTTTTTCAGCATTGTGATCCTCTTTTATCACAGTACAGTAATACAATCTTTCATAGACATTCACGTTTAAACTCAAATATAAGCAACATATTATTCAATGTATTTGACTTCTAGATTTGTATATTAAATTGCTCAAGCAAGTGGCAACACATTTAAACAGCATACAGACACAAACATTTTAAATTAAAACTTACCACTGACAGAAACAGTCAGCATGTCAACAGTCTCATGCCTTTTCTTTTGCATTTAAATCTTTATTACAAGCAAACGGAGTATGTGTGAAATAGGCATAAAGGTCAGATTTTGTCAATGATACCAGCAAAGACATAACTATCACAACAGACTGGAGTAAAATGTGCTGTGAAGGACTTTTGAATGGATACAGATGTGACAAAATAATGAAGCTGTCACATACACATGAGTGATGTCCATGGTTAATGTATCGGACCATGGCTGCAGTAGCAGAAAGGCCTTCAGTGTGAGAGCAGCACGTGGCAGTAGAAGATAGGGACACCATACTGGATCTGAAACAGAGAACAGAGACAGGAACATACAGTTGTGCTCAAAATTATTCATACCCTTGGTAAATATGATCAAAGAAAGCTGTGAAAATTAATCTGTATCATCAATCCTTTAGATATTTTATTTAAAATATTCTTCTTCTCTTAAGTTCACCACACTCATTTTCTATAGGGTTCAGCTCAGGGAACTGGGTTGGCCAGGGCAGAAGCTTGGTTTTGTTCTCAGTGACCCATTTTTGTTTTGATTTTGATGTTTGTTTGTGGATCATTGTCCTGTTGGAAGATCCAACCATGGCTCATTATAAGATTTCTAGCATGGACAGTCAGTTTTTAATTTTTTATCCATTGGTATTTTATAGAATCCATTATGCTACCTCGAGTGTTTCCTGCTAAAAAGCAATTTTTTTTTGTTTCATCTGACCATTGAACCCAGTCCCGTTTAAAGTTCCAGTCGTGTCTAGCAAATAAATATACTGGAGTTTGTTTTTGGATGAGAGCGTTTTCTTTTCTAGTTTTTTTTCTTGAAACCCTCCCAAACAACATTTTTTTTTGTTGAGGCTTTCCGAACCCAAGACTCAACTATTTTCTGCAGTTCTCCAGCTGTGATCCTTTGAGTCTTTGGCCACTCAAACTCTCCTCCTCACTGTGCATTAGGACGATATAGACACACGTCCTCTTACTGTATTAGAGAAAAATATTTATTTCATAATGCGATTTTCCCCCACTTTCACTTTTTTAACTTTAATTACAGGTTAGATTTAAAAAAATTTTTTTGAATGAAAGATCAAGTGGATAAACAATGCAGATTTATTTTCACAGTCTTCTTTGATCATATTTACCAAGGGTATGAACAATTTTGAGCACAACTGTACATACATACACCATAAAAGTCTATTGTACATCACCAAGTCTCAAATTTATCAGATATCCAAATAGGGAATTCCATTGACTTCTACAATTCTTAATTTAAACTAGGAATACATCTGTCAAAATGAAAATGCTTGGCCAAAACCCAAGTATTCAGGACAGACTGGACAAAAAAATCATTGTCTTTCTCTTTAAGAGACTCTCACTACACAAGATCACATTAACTGTGGACAACCTCTTCCATCAATATTTTGGGATATATAACCCATCACATTTAGAATAAAATCTAATTAAACCTTTTCGTGTGCACACTGCTTGAATGCTAAAATAATGGTTTCTGATAACTAGTTCTATATTTTTATCTGCATTTTAAACCAAAAAGTTCCATTCTTAATTTAAACTAATTATAACTGATGTACACAAACCCTGAAACACAACATTTGGCATTATTAGGGGGTGTTTACACAATACAGCTTTTAAACTAAAAACTTTTTAAAGACTCACCTGTCAGGTCCTGCTCATCCATTCTATAACTGGCAGACTTCATGGCCATCTCCAGCACTCTCACGCAGCCATCATCTGATGCCAATACTACTTTATCTGATGTACACCAGTCAATATCCAGAATTCTATAATTCACATTCCGCCCCACTCTGATGCTGCTCACCATCTGCACCTGTAGAAGTATGTGACAGTATAATCTTTAAAGAAAACCATTTCTATAACACCAAAAAGGAGAACACTTCGAAGGATTCATTTATTCAAGTCAGGATAAATAAATAATATTAATCCTTAACTAGTGACAGTAATGAACTTATCCATTGAAAGGAGATATTTACAGCCAAATTTTTTTCCTTATAATCTTTAT